CATCTGAAGGCTGCTGGGAGAAGACTGGCTTCCAGGAAGCTAGGATGAGGGTATTAAAGCTCATGCCCATAGTGGCACACCTATTCCAACAAGGCCACACCACCTAATAGTGCCCTTCCCTGGGCAGAGAGCATATACAAACAATCATACCCATGTAGTAATATTACATGATGACAGAGGTTGAATTTTTTATTTATTTATTTATTTTTTTTACAGATTCAGGAGGCAAATCAAGATCAAACAATGGTAAATGTCATTCTCTGAGGATGACACTGCAGCAGCCATCTTGGCTCTGGCTGTCCGCAGACAGCTGCCACATGTTGTAGGTTCCCCCTAAGGTGTGCATGACGTCAACCTCCTGTAGTTTCCTCCTTTTTACTGTGTTCCCATTTCGGATGAGGAAGCAAGAGCTCAGCAGAATGCCTTGCTTGAAAGCGTACTGCTGGTACCTGGAAGAGAAAATACTCAATCCAGGCCTCTGCCTGCAGCCCTCAGCCTTCCTCACTGTCTATGTGGGTCCTGCCTTCCTTTCCTGCTGAGCACTGACTATACCTTTTGTGACACTGCCCAACCAGGCCAGAGCTGGCTGATGATGTCACTTGTGAAACTCGTATTCTGCTTGGAGGTCTCCAGTCAGGTGTGCCCTCCATCATGCCAGAGCTATGGCCCATGTCTAGTAGAGGCCTCCTCATTCATTACAGTCCTCCCAGCACGTCCACACCCCGCCCCCATTCCTGGCTGGTGTTTCAGAGCACTAGTTTCCCTGTTCAGGAGGCCCTGCCTCCTCTACTGCCATGTTGTCTGCCTGTCTCAGAGTTTCTGATTCGTGGCTGGAAGAACTCAGAAAATAACTGCTTGATATTTTATCCTGACTGTTAAAATAGCATGCTTTCTTTTTTGTTGCTGTTCTGTTTTTAGTAATAAAACTATAAAGAATTATAAAGTTAAAATTCTAAACCTTTATTTTATTAAGAATAATTTCATTACATCTTTAAATTTTAAGACCAAACAATGTATGTATAATATTATGCTATAAGAAATACATTGGCACCATATTATAGATGATTGTCCTTACATATTCCTTCTCTCTCTCTCTGTCTCTCTGTCTCTCTGTCTCTCTCTCTCTCTCTCTCTCTCTCTCTCTCTCTCTCTCTCTCTCAATATGTGTGTCTGTGGGATGGTGTATGTGGGGAGTATAGTGTATGTGTGTGGTATGGATGATGTGTATGTGTTGTGTGTGTGTGCATTGTGTTTTGTGTGTGTATTGTGGTGTGTATGTGGTATGTATGTGGTATGTGTATGTGCTGCGGTACATGTGTGTGTATATGCTGTGTGTGTGTTGTGTATGTGTGGTATGGTGTGTAGTACATGTGTGTGTGTGTGTGTGTGGTATGGTGTGTAGTATGAAGATGAGGTATAATGTGTGTGTGTATGTATGTGTGGGTGATTTGTATGTGATATGTGTGGTGTGTGTTTAGTGTGTATGCTGTATATGTGTGTATGTGTGCATCCAGAGCCTTGATTATTCGTTGGTGTTTCAGGCAAACTTGTTTTATAAAATATCCTTATTTGTAAGAAGGCTATTAAGGAATAGTCCAGGGATGATAGGAGAAGAAAGGGAGGGCAGTGACTGTGGATAATAAAGGGACATACTATCACCTTAGACACACATGGCATGTCATTACTGACCTGACATGTGCAATTAATATGTATTTATTAAAAAATTGAAAAAATTTGGATACATCTGTCAATACTTAAGACGTGCAGGATTGACAGGGAGTTAATCTGAAAATGTATTAAGAGAAAATTATCAAAATGAGATAACATGATGTTACTGGGATTGCCATGATCTTGGTTATCACTAATTAGTAAATAAGGAAAAATAAAAGAATATTTTTACTTGTTTTTTAAAATGCTATAGTTTGCCTAAGGGTTAAGTTACACTTTACTGTAGGGGGATTCAGCAAAGCTGAGTGTCAGCTCAGCTATAGATGAAGATATAGATGCTTCCCAGACTGTAGTTAGCTACGGACTGAAGTTGCCTGAAAAATCCTTTGTTTGCAAGTGTTAGATGAGGATTCCTTGAACACAAGACTCATTTTGAAATTTCCTTTGTTTCCTAAAGCCAACTCATGCCACAGGATAGTATCTGTGACAGGCATCCTTCTCCCCCATAGTGTGACAGCAACAGGTATCTCAGAGATTTCTGGCAGGGTGTGGAACATGGAATCTCCTTATTCTATATGTTAGTAGTAAGAAGTATCTTTGAATCAAAGATAAGTAACAGATCAAGTAGAAATATATAATACTTTTAACATAAAATTCAAAGGGAGTAGAATTCAGGATATTCAAAGAACATTTGCAAATCAATTAAAATATAAGCAATCCAACAGCAATGACAAAAAACCCTAATAATTTCACTGGCCTTCAAAACTACAAAGTTGGAAAAAATATAGATTGACGTAATTAGAATTTGATAGTATGTAGTATTGATCTGGGTATGGAAAAGTACATTTACTTCTGGTCAGAGTGTGAAATAATTCAGTCACTTTAGGAGACATTTGTCTCAATGAGAAACGAGTACGTCTTTGGCCTTGGCTCCTCAGTGAGACATGCACTATGGCATCATTGACAGCCAAGAGAAATTGATGGGAGCTGAGGTCCTCACCAGACAAAACTTACTAAGCAAAGCCCGGGGCGCACAGGCAAACCACAGCCTTCTCCAGTGTCATATGGAATGAGCCGAAACTGCTCTATCCATAATGCACTGAAAGACAACCCCCACCCCCCACCCACCAACAGTGTCTGGGACATAATGTGTCACTGTTTAGCTGAAAAGGAGGTGGAAGAAGAAGAGGAGAAAATGAATGAGAAGGGAAGTTTTTTATATACACATATACATAAACATGTACATATATAAATACACACATATTCTTTTTATGGTTTTACCTTTCAAACTCTGTTGGAAGTTGCCCTCAACGAGCAGTATACTGATGCTAACTGAACAGCCCTTGCTGCGCGTGGCATACTCCACAGGCTCCAGTACTGTTCCAGGTCATTGCGTTCATTTTTCACAGTGCTGCTCATAACCTATTAAACTGATGTCAGGGCTCAGAGATAGTTTGAAAGTCACTGTTGGGAGTTACTTGTGCATGTGTGTAAAATGGATATTATAGAAGGCAGAAAGGTAACACACACAGCTAATGTTAGCTATTATTTCTGAGTGAGCGGCCCTGAAGAGAGATGCTTCCCAGAGCCTTGAGCCTCATCTGTAATAATGTTTTTGTGTGTTTGTTTGCTTGATTTATGGGAAGCTTTTGTAATTAAACATTTAACATTCATTTTTAAGAAAGCAACCGATCAAAGCTATTTGCAAAAGTCAAGAGCTTCCTAGAACTGAGGAGCAGTGGTTGGATAGAGTTAAAACCCAGTTATTTGAAGTTAAAAGTATATAGCTGTATGTTGAACAGTAGACATTCTGGCTACCTCCTTGTTATTGTGTTTAGGACCACAGATTAGCAGATTTATGGTAAAGTAGAGTCAAGTCAGGGATACCCATTCAAATTGCTGTCACAAGCCTAAAACTGCTCAACCATGCTGTGAGCCTTTAGCTGGAAGTCATGGTGGACGAGCCAACGTGAAGGCGACACACACCTGAGGCTTCCAGTTTCCTGATGCCAGCAGGAACTTAGTATTGTTACACAGTCCTGTCTTCAGGGGGGAACTTAGTACTGTTACACAGTCCTGCCTTCAGGGAAAAACTTAGTGCCATTACACAGTTCTGTCTTCAGGGGAGAATTTAGTACTGTTACACAGTCCTGTCTTCAGGGGGGAACTTAGTGCCATTACACAGTCCTGTCTTCAGGGAACTTAGACAGAGGTCTGCCCTTTAGGGGGTCTTTGGGTGGGGAGCACAGCTGCAGAAATTAGGGCTACTGTTCCCCAGGCTGGTGCACACTGTGAGGAGCAGCCAGCATCACTACTCCTCTGAACTCTTGTGATTTGATTTCTCAGCTTTTCACCCCAAGGGTAATTTATTAAATCACATCTTAATGATTCAATAATTGATGCTTACAAGGAGTTTTCAAAAGAGATAGAGCCTTTACATCTAAACAAAAAATTAGCCTCAGATGGTACAGAGCTGGGTTATTTTTTGTGCTAATTTTCCAAACAAGTACATAGAGCTATCCATAAAGAAAATATTCATATTTTGTTTCCCCTTTTGTTTTGTTTCTGAAAGGGATAATTTCATGTTTTTAAATAGCCATATAAAATTCTCCTTAAATGTTTTGAAAACAAACCATTTATGGCAAGACACACAACCTTTTTCTGAAAGTACTTGTAAGAATCTTTAAAATTGCAGCTATTGCTAAAGCAATTACTATAACAGATTTAATCTCTTAAATGCTTGAGATGGTATGGAAGGAAGAAAAGAAGGCCTTAGAAACTTAATTTTAATAAGATTATGGCAAATGAGTATAAGATGTTATAGGTGTGTGTGTTTGTGTGTGTGTGTGTGTGTGTGTGTTTCGGAGGGAAGAGACGGGATATTTTCTTCTGGCATCTTCTATGCTGTCCATGGCAATCTGTGAGTGAGAAGAGATGAATGTGCCTAATTCAGGGAGGGAGGCCACTCCTATCCTAGCTTTGCAGTCCTTAAGAACAAACCACCACACAGGGGAATATAAAGCCGGGGAAGCAGTTCTTGTCCACACTGACAGCCATTAGCCAGAATCTGTGAATGTGCAGTGAGTTTACAGGGAGAATTCAGGACAAGTTAACCCAGAAAGAAATTGAAGTAGCCATTAAGATTTTCAATAATTAAGGATTTGAACAGTACTTAATTCTACTATAGTTTTACCTACATGGTGTTTGTGTCTAGTAGCTTCGATAAAATTAGCTTTAAAATGTGTTAATAGGCAATATGGATAATTTATTATTTAAAAGCAAGCAAGCAAGCAAGCAAACAAACAGCCCTCTTCTGACTTTATCACCCACAGCATCTGCAGGCATCGCCGTATCCCAGCGGAAAGTGCGGCAGATCTGCGACCCCATTCAGCAGATCCTGATCCAGCTGCATAAAGTCATCTACATCACGCAGGTCAGTGTCTACAGTGGTACACTTCTCGGCCATGAAGCAAAGCTAACACAGATGAAAGCACACAGTCTTGTCGGAGCTTGAATTAGAGTGAACACAGAATCATTCTCACCCCTCTGACCATGTGTGTGTATGTGGGGACCTGCCTAGAAGTAAATCTGTCCTGTTTTCTTCACGGCTTCTGCCTGTGCTCTCCATCCTAAAACAAGTGGATTTGTATTGTGGAGTGCAAAGAGGAGCAGAACTGGATTGCTTTTTTATAAGCAGCCCTATCATAGGAATAAAGGGAATGGGACCTCTCCTTTCATCTGATTTGACAACACAGCCTCTCAAGGATATGAAAGCCAGACTCCCTCCCCCATTTCCATAATACTCAGGACTATTAAGACCTCCTATTTGTGAATCTGAATAATACTTCAGTTCTGAGAAGTCCAGGGCTGAAGGCTAGCTATTGGCTATGGACCCACAGATCTAATGAGAGACAACTGGATACTCTTCTATCTAAGGCATGTGCTACTTACTAGTGACAACATTTTTCTAAGTAAAGCTATTTGGGTAAGAAAATAGGTACTTTGAAGTTCAAGATAGCGCCATCTGGTGCTTTTGTTAAATCCACCACTCACTGTCCTATAATTAGTAAGCACCTATTCAAGCACCAGGTACTGTTCTAGGCTTTGAGAGGCATAGCTGTCTTATGATGGTTAATCTTGATTTCCAACTTGATGACCATTAAAACCACTACGAAAGAAATGTGAGGGACTTTCCAGAAGTTGAAAAAGTATGTGAAGTTGTAAGGCCCATCCCGGATGTGGCTATATCAGAAGCTAGAGTCCTGGGCTGAATAAAGAGGAGAAAGGGAGCTGAACATGACCAGTCACCCAGTGTGACCAGTCACCCAGTGTGACCAGCTGTACTCTGCTTCTCGATGGAACCTTCCCTGCTGTGACAGACTGTAAGCCCTATAGCTGTAAGCCAAAGTAAAATTTCCCTCCCCCTTCTTTCCCTCCCTCCCTCCCTCCCTCCCTCCCCCCCTTCTTCCACCCT